AGATTTTTTCTTTAATATAGATATCTTACTTGAAAATCAAGAAAGCACAGGATACAGAAAGTTCTTTTCAAGTAGAAATAGTCTAGGCTGCCATATCATGGCCCCCAGCACTGAGGAGAACAGCCACTGCAGCTTTGAGGAGCTGAGCCTTGAAGGCCACTGTATCACCACCCCCAGTGCTGAGAAGCAGAGCCCTCCACCCCAGCACTGAGGAGCTGAGCCTTTTGAACCACCATACTACTGCCCCAAGCATTGAGGAGCAGAGCCCCCTCCCCCAGTGCTGAGGAGGTGAACCTTTGGGGCCACTGTACCACCCCCCACCCCCCCCTCCCAGAAGCTAGGAGATGAACTGAGCAGGGGCCAGCAGCAGCACACAAACCCCCACTGTTAAAATGAGAAGACATGTAAACAAGGCTCAAAACCAGACTCCCAGATCACCTAAAGCAATGCCAGAGGGAAACGAGATGGAACAATGTGATACTCAACAACCTACACTCCCTGAACTGGCAACAAAAGAGGATCTGGAAAAAATGAAATCAGAAATAATTTCTCAGATAACAGCAGAAATTGTGCCCATAGTGCAAGACATGATTAATAAATCTAGAATCGACACATAAAAAAACAGAGCTCAGGAACATGATGGAATCCCAACATAGGAAACACATGGAATCCATAAAACACATGCAAATAGATTTCCAGGAGATTAAAAACTCCATTGAAAGTTTACGTAGCAGAATGAACCAATCTGAGGACAGAATCTCAGATATAGAAGATAAGATTACAATTAGTGACCAGGAAAAGGAAAATGTCTTTAAAAACAGTAAGGAACCATGAGAAATCAATCCAGCAGCTGCTAAATGATTCAAAGAAGAACAGAAGACTGATCAGAGTCAATGAAGAAACAGGAGAGAGTACAGATAACATTAAAAAAAAAAAACTGTTCACAGAAGTGACGGCAGAAAACTTCCCAATCAGGGGAAAAGAACTTGACATACAGATAAATGAGGTATATAGGACTCCAA